AATTAAGCATTACGCTATGAAGGCGTATAGAGTAGTGGGTGTATAGATCCACGTATTCTTGACCTCGGCACTAGTTGAGTGAGTGGTCAGCTTCACGCCTCGGCCGCTTTACTACCCCCCGCCCCAGGCCAAAGAGGCCCAGAAACCCCCTGGATAGGAGGCTGGGCGGGCGCCGAAACCAGTATGGACGAAATGAATAACAGAATCTTGTCTCTACTGGGATTTGAATTCCGTCCCCTCGTCCTCCAGCCCGTAGCCAGTCGCTATACTGACTGCGTCATCTCGCCTCCCGTATGGCACCACAGCAGATTTATAATTGGCTTAGATAAACAAGCAAACTTGCCCGTAACAGGGGCGAGAAATGACGATGAAAGGAGAAGAACGGAAGTAATAACGAATATAAAGGAGGGAAGAGTGAAAAATGTAAATAAACAAAGGGAAGGCGAAAGAAAAGTGGAAGTAAAGACAGAAGGAGCGAAACCAAGAGTCCCACAGCAATTAGAGAGTAAACAATTCTACTGTCAAGGCGTGACAAATGATAAAGGACTTATAGGTTAGAAGGGAAATTTCAAGCGGCAGAGAGTTAGAAAGAGAACAAAAAAAAAACAAAGCAGAAGGAAGTAAATGCCGAAGGGCGAGACATTAATCTTTTCAAGGGCTTTCAATTTTCCTGAAATTAATCCAGATATGTATAACGTCTGTTTTGTATGTTTAGCCAAGTATTTACTGAACACAGTTCTTTGTGCAAAACGTTTTGGTTTTTTAAATATTTAAAAACTATATATATTTATTCCACAAATGAAGTAAACCTAAAAACGTCCCTGTGCTTAACTATTTAAGCACTATGCCATGAAGGCGTATGGAGGAATGGATGTGTAGAGCCACATTTTCTTTACCTCGGCATTAGTTGGAGGTGAGTGGTCAGCTTCACGGCCCGGTCGCTTTACTCCCGGGGAAAGAGCCCTCAGTATCTATTATATAGGAGGACAGGGGGGCCCCAGATTCAGTCTAAACGAAAATTCTTGACCCCAGCTGGACACGAACTCTGACCTTCGGTCGTCCAATCCGTAGCCAGTCGCTATACCGACTGCGCTATCCCAGCTCCCTATATATGAAGTTGTAAAAATAAAGGTTTGTGCTGGTATATTTATTTTGTTCCTGAAGACTACCGTGGAATAAAATATATGAGAAGCATGTAGGGCAGTATTAATTCATTGTTCTGATTAATATTAATCATAATATATTAATTAATACAAATATTAATCAGAATATATTATATTCAAGTGTGCAAGAATATGTAGCCGTGTCTCGGAACGGATCCGGGAACCGGCGTCTACCAAACACGGGCACTTCGTGGATAAATCGGATGATAGAATCGTGTAATTAATGTAGGGATCTCTGTTCTTTGTGTGTCATTTAACATTACAGTCAGTATCTCAGACTATACATCGTTGGGCGATCGAAACATTTAATGACCCAAGAAATCGTGGCCCGGTTTCCGACAGGGCACAGCCTCCAGGCCGGCTCCCGCTACTGCCCAAAATTCGCAATCCACACCATGAATTAAGTCAGTCATGCCACTTTCATTTCAAACTATGTCCCTTCAGCAGTCGATACAGCTTCGGAAATTGATTGAATTATCAAAAAAGTAACCAATTATTAGGAACAATGGATTTCAGCGTCATATTTTTACTTGAATAACTTATTGTTGGTTCCTCCTCAACACCGCTTCCAACAGCTCTTCTATTGTTATGTACCTGTCTATAGCGGCCATCACGTGACGGCTATTGAGCCATTGCCTAATAACAGGCGCGTTTGCAAAGCCGTTCCTTAGCAACGACGGTCTCTGATGGCTTCATAATTCTGGTTCTCAGCAGACATACCTCATTGCATATTGTCGCGTGTTTCCTAGGCAACGTGGCAAGAAATTGTGTGGGTCTCGAATTTGAACGAATATTTTTACTGGACAATCACACTTTACACTCACAAATATAATTATTCACATTTACAATGTCTTCTGTCGTTTCCTCTTCAATGTTATAAACTCTCCCCTCGCCAATCTCGGTGAAGTGTCTTCTGCTATGCTCGGAGCTCAACTTCCCTGGTCTCTTATCGGATACGAACTCTGTTAGTCTCAGAGTCACAGTTACTTTACGACTGTCGGTTTGCCGCCGTTCAGTTCGTCTTGGCGTCAGGCCCCTTGAGGAACACGACCAGAGATATTTTTCCCCAACTGAACCCTTGCAGTGATAGTCCTTATGTAACATCCTCTCTGTCGAGAAGATGAGTTTGTCTCTTATGGATACCCTTGACCTTTCGTTAAGTGTATATTTCGCACATATAACGTGTTATCGAAAGTTCTTCCTTTTGCACTATACACAAGTCCTCTGTCAGCACAGGCTTTACAGAGCAGCTCATGCCTAACTTACACATACATATCTTATTCTACAGCGACAACTTAGTCATTTAAACGGTCGTAAGCTTGACCACCGCCAAGTTTAAGCCTCTTATATTTTTCTGGCTTCACCTTGTCCTATACCTCGAACGTGTTCATTCTCATGATTCTGTATGACTTCTGCTTGTCGTATGCACAATTTTGTTACATAATCGTATTCATACGGAAAGTTGAAGGCTGTGTGGAAGTCGCGGACTGGTGTGCACCTTGGAAAATTTCCAATGGTGCGCAAAACCTTGTTTTGCATGCGCTGCAATTTTAGGAGGTAGGTGTCTGCCGCTAATTCTCAGGCGGGACAAGCGGGACAAACCTCATACAATTCGTTACAAATAACGGTGGAAACCCCACTCTTAGACTTTCGTCTCCGGCAGCAGGTCACAATATAATGAACAATTCAAGTTTCAGATAAACCTACAAGAGAAAACATAATTATGCACAACGCCTGTGGTCTAGTGGTCAGAGTTCCTGGCTACAGATCCAGAAGTCCAGGTTCGATTCCCGATACTATCAGATTTTCTGAGTAGTGGGTCTGGAACGGGTCCACTCAGCCTCGTGAGGATGATTGAAGAGCGACGTGGTATTTTAAGGAAACAGCGGCTTCGGTCTAGAAAACCTAAATTAACGACCGTGGGGATTCGTTGCACTGATTACGCTACACGCGACAAGCGGCGGTCGCTTGGTCTGTACAGTTCGCTTGCGGACTAAAGCCACTGAGTTTTTGTTTTTTCTACCTATGTACGTATGTATACGTATGCATAGTATATATCTTGCACTTCTCTGTAAGGGGAACTGTAAAGCTGAATACACCGTGTAGAGGTTAACATTTGCCTTTGCCTGTGTCAGGTAGTATACGCGCTGTGATATCGCGTCGGAGTGTCACGTCGCTGCTGCAGTAGTTACGTCAACAGGACCCAGGGCTGACAGAACGTGGTTTGATCTTGTGCTACGCACTGATGATGCGGCAGCATGCTTACGGCAACTGATATACGACAAATTATGATGCACGCCACTGGATAGCAGCCCACATAACCACATTCAATGGGAATTAACATCGCTCTGTGTTCGGGGATCAGTAGCGTTAGTGGCGTGCAACGTGAAACATGCTGGTAAATGAAAATGAAGAGGGAATTGAATGCGAATGGATAGTCGGTTAGTTTAATGTTGGTTCCTTCACCCTAATCCGTGTATAAATTTTATAAGTATGTTATTTTACAATATAATTCAGGCCTTTTAGCCATCATCAGATAAAATACTTAAGCTCATTCTCTACTTCCCTGCTACTTTATCCTACATTGGCTAATGTTTACAGTTGGGGAAAGTCATACCTGTTCTTTGTCAATGTTAATGCCACGTATAAAATTATATTAGCGTATTGTATAAGCATTGAATTGTTCAAGAACTAAATTATTAAAATGTTTCATTTGTTGTGGTATTGTTAAATAATATTTATTACTGGATCACTGCTGAAGTGTCTTCTCTTCAATGCCAAAGTATAAAATTATATGTTAAAATATTAAAATATTGAAGCTTTTATTGTAGTAGACAGTGACACTGAACAGTGCTGTTTTTTATATATCATAACAAAAACGGCCTTCTCTTGAGTGATCTGAAATATAATGCTATTATTAGTCAGTATTCGTCATGGTTATATTTGAGGGTGATATATACCTATGCATTTTGCTGTGTAGAGCCGTTTCTAGGCAACGGCCGCCAAACAAACAACGGAAAAGCGCCCATTAATAGGCAGCAGATTTTATTAATGCATCAGTTGGACTATAACAATGGAAGAGCTGTATTTTCTACTTGGTCCTTTCCGAGAGGTTGTAAGCGAGACCAGATGTAGAGTTGTCAGTTGATAATCAGGCGGTAAAGAGAAGGCTGGGAGGTTAGTGTGAAATGGCCGCTTGTCAGTTACAAGAGTGCTCAGTTGAAAGTCGAACTGTGAAAAGATTTTATGTGTGATATTTGGAATGTGTAACCCAGTGAGACTGTTATAGTTTCTGTGTTAAAATCCGTTTCCAGGAAACGGCTGTGCGGTATTCCTATGCTGATAAGGTAAACAAATGCGAAGTTCTCCCGGTGCTTAACTAATGAAGCACTACGCCATGAAGACGTACTGGGGGGGGGGGAATATATATATACACATTTTCTTGACCTCGGCACTAGTTTGTGGTGAGTGGTCAGCTTCACGAACCTGCCGCTTTAACCCCAGAGGAGCTCCCGGTACCTATTGGATAGGAGGTTGGGTGGACCCCAGAGCCAGTCTGGACGGTCTGGACGATCTGCACGACTTGGAGAAGAGAAAATTCTTGCCACCACCACCACCGGGGCTTGAACTCCAACCCCTCGGTCGTCTCGCCCGTAGCCAGTTGCTTGCTGTACGGACCATACCGAGTGCGCCATCACGGCTCCTCATTGCTATGACGATACGTACGGTTAACTCACAGGAACTAGACACATGAGAACCGTTATGTAATCTCTGGCGAATAAGAAGGAACAGCACTGCGCTTGCGTACTACGGTCAGTATCGTTCATGTTGCAGAAATGAAACCATTCAGTATGCCACGTGGCAATTATTGTGACTTGTGAATGTGTTCGTGACATCTCGCAGGAACAGTGTTTTTAAATTTAAATTTTCGAAAATACATGGGATCATCGAACTTCGGAAAGGTGATTAATAGCTACAGGTGAGTGGTAAATGTTTTTAACTCCGGTCATACCCATGTAACGATACACACTGCGGTACAGTGTTGTGTAGCCATCCATGCTTCTTGTTATAATGAGCCCAGTGTAAACACAGAATGGTGCTGCTTTTGTATGTTCTACACTTCCTGATAGTTAATTACAAGCTTTGTAACATTACTTTGAGACTTCCCCTAGTACGTACACACGAACAGAAAGACTCGTGTTATTCCTAAACCACGTTTCGTAATCAAGGGTGCTGGAAACCTGTAAAATCCATAAAAAATGTCTAGAAATTTCTTCACCATCATAGTATTTACCATACTTAGTACATAATAAGACAAAAAGGCAGTATTTACTGTAAAATTATTTATTGAATGTTATGAACCGCCATATGTGACCCGATTGTCTAGAAAATGTGGGAGCCTCAACGTCTCACAAGACAATGGGCCTCCAAGGCCTGAAACAGGGATAGCATTACATTTTTTATTATGTGTGACTTACTATACCTATTTACAAGAATGCTGTTAAAATGATCTAGTAATTTTAGAAGCATATCACTGTTATCAACTTCACGCAACATTTCAGTCGATCACCCGTTCTCAAGGTTAAGTATCTATCTATCTAATCCAGTGGTTCTCAAACTTTTTACCACTGAGCCCCCCCCTGACAAGAGAAAATACTCTCAGGACCCCAGCCTGTTTTTTTTATCAAAATAGAAGTCATGGTATGTTTGACGTTTTATTCAGTTTTTTTGTTTTTCTACATATTATTTAGCAGTTTTTTTACTCAAAATTAAAGTATTACAATATTAGGCCTACAATAAAAATTAGTTTTAACACTTCCAATTAACCAAAATATGTATTGAAATGAAACGATATTTAACTAAGAAGTATTTAAATTTTTTTCTGCAAAGAAAATCAAACATTAAAATGTCAAAGTTCAGTGTGATGGATGGGCCTGCTTTTGAGAACAAAGTTTATCAAAACGTGGTGTAATATCAGAAATGGCCACTCTAACTTCTTTAGCAATATTTAGCCTTAAACGATACTTTGACTTTATAGCTGCCAAAGCAGAAAAGCCTGTCTCGCGTAAGTAAGTTGTTGCGAAAGGAATCAGGATTTTCAGTGCTTTTTGGCTCAAAGTTTGGAATTCCTTGCCAATATGTATCCAGAACTCCAACAAAGACAATTCCTTAAATTTACTTTTTAATGAAGTATCACTAGTGAGATCGATGAGTTGTTCTTGCTCATTTACATTCAGAGATGATGGCCCAGGAGCATTTTCGAATGGATTTTTAATCCAATTAAATTTATCAAAATCATTGCAAAAGTATTTTTCGAAATGATCTTTCAACATTATGAGATGATCAAGTAGGCAGCTTTTTATGTCCATTGGAAGCACTGGATTGTCAGTGTCGTGTACCATTGACACCAGAGTAGGGAACATGTCTAGCGTGTCACTTTCCATACTGTTTCTCCAGAGCTCTAATTTTCTCATGAATGCCTTCACTTTGTCATTCCAAGAAAGTACAGTTGCCTCATTCCCTTGAAGTGAAGTGTTGAGGATATTTAGTTTCTCAAATATATCTGTGAAGTAAGCCATTTTCAATAAAAGATCCTTGTTTTTGAAACTGCCTGCCAGTGAGTTATTTTCCCAATTTAAAAAACAGAACACCTCATGCCTCAGCTTAAACATTCTCTTTAATACCTTGCCTCTTGAAAGCCATCGAGCATCACTAAAAAACAACAGAGCAGTGTGTTCGGCACCCATTTCCTCACACAGCATTTTAAAAAGTCTAGACTTCAGAGGATTTCAGAGGATGCGGCTGCTGCCGCTGCCGAACTCTCAACGCTGTCTCTGGCATACGCGTTTTATAATTGCCGGTAAAGAGAATAATTATTAGTTATTTTGAAATTCATGATAATTAAAGCCTGTACTCATCAAAAGTTTTTTTATATGTATTTTTATTTTTTATTACTTTTCTAATTGATTTAGGGCCGTATTAATTTGTATCTGTAGGAAAGTATGCTGCGCCCCCTTTTCAAGCCCTTCGCCCCCCTCGGTGGTCGCGCCCCACAGTTTGATAACCACTGATCTAATCTATCTGTCTGTCTGTCTGTCTACCTACCTATCTATCTATGGCTCTACCGTCCTTTTGTTGGGCTTTGACCGCCTTTTCAGTTTCATAATCCTATATACATTCGGTAGGGCTCCTTAACTGGAGGAGCAGCCCGTCTCAAGGCCGCTACATCCATACCGTGATATGGATTCGAGCCCACGATCCCAGCGTTGGACCGAGCAAAGATAGTTCATGCCTTAAACCGCGCGACCACTTTGATCGGCAAGGTTTAGTCCATAATAGACGAAATTACTACGATCAGTAGTTAGGCTTTCGACGCAAGCAAATGACCGAACTCGCTTGCTCGGCGGGACTGATGGTACGCACCATTTATCGGTAGGGTATAGAGACTGGTAGAATATCATAGAGGGAAGCACAATAGATCAAACTGGTCGCGGTGCATGGGGAAACCCACCCTCTCTAAATAACTAACTAACTAGGCTTTCGACGTAACGGATTAAATACTGATAAGCAGGGCTCGGATTTTGATGACATGTCATCTTTTTTTCCTTGTATCCTATGCGATGCTCTTAAATATATAAATCTCGGATATGAGCTGCTGGTTACAGAAATGTAAATTTTATAGGTAATTTTTGTCATTTTTTTACATTTATAGGTTTAAGGTCATTTTTTCATTTTGGGGGTAATTTTTTTTTGTAAATTTTTGGGCTTTTAAGCATATTTCTTGTCATTTTTGGCCATTTTAGGGAATTTTTCTTCATATGTTTTCTGAAATGATAATAATATGAAAGCAGAGTGTTCCTTCTCTTTCTCCTAAGCGCTTTCTACAAAGGCCATATTATACAATAATAGGTTGTATTCCTGGCCCGTCCTTTCCGTTCGTTTCGCGGGAGTGCTGACAATACATATCATAAAACAGAGTAAGGTGATGACTACTCACACTACTATCCAATATTCTTCTTTCAAGGTTAAGACCATATATAGATGAAATTATTGGGGATCATCAGTGTGGGTTTCGACGTAACAGATCAACTGCAGATCAGATCTTTCGCATTCGTCAGATATTGGAGAAAAAATGGGAGTACAGTGAGACAGTACATCAGCTATTCATAGACTTCAAGAAAGCCTGTGGTTCAGTTAGGAGGGATGTATTGTACAATATTCTAATAGAGTCTGGGATACCCATGAAACTAGTTAGGTTGATTAAAATGTGTTTAAACGAAACGTATAGTAAAGTCCGTGTAGGTAAACATTTGTCTGATAAATTTCCTATCCAGAATGGTTTAAAACAAGGAGATGCTTTAGAGCCACTCCTTTTCAACTTTGCCTTACAATATGCAATTAGGAAGGTCCAAGGAAACCAGATGGGACTGAAATTAAACGGGACACATCAGCTGTTGGTCTACGCCGATGATGTGAATCTGCTGGGTGATAAGGTAGATACCATAAAGAAAGACGCACAAACTTTAATTGACGCAAGTAAAGAGGTTGGTCTAGAAGTAAACACAGAGAAAACTAAGTATATGTTGCTGTCTCGTCACCAAAATGCAGGGCAAAATCATGACCTAATGATAGGAAACGTGTTTTGAAAATGTGGCACAGTTCAGATATTTGGGAACAACGATAACAGATCGAAACCTGATTCAGGAGGAAATTAAGAGGCGATTGAACTCTGGTAATGCTTGCCCCCATTTAGTCAAGAACCTTTTGTCTTCTCGTCTGTTGTCTAAAAATTAGAATATACAAAACTATAATTTTGCCTGTGGTTCTGTATGGCTTTGAAACTTGGTCTCTGACATTAAGGGAGGAACATAGACTGAGGGTGTTTGAGAACAATGTGTTGAGGAGAATATTTGGACCGAAGAGAGATGAAGTGACAGGAGGTTGGAGAAAACTGCATAATGAGGAGCTTCATAACTTGTACTCTTCTCAAAGTATAATTAGAATGATCAAGTCAAGGAGGATGAGGTGGGCAGGGCATGTAGCACGAATGGAGGAGACGTAAATGCGTAGAGGATATTGGTGGGGAAACCAGAAGGAAAGAAGCCACAAGGAAGACCAAGGCGTAGGTGGGTGGACAGTGTTAGAATGGATCTTAGAGGGGTAGGATGGGATGGTATGGATTCGATAGATCTGGCTGAGGATATGGACCAGTGGAAGGCTCTTGTGAACACGGTAATGAACATTCTGGTTCCATATAATGCTGGGAAATTCTTGAGTAGCTGCAGAATTGGCGGCTTCTCCAGAAGTCCTCAGCTCCATGAGTAAGTAAGTAAGTAAGTAAGAGACCGGGACAGCCGATCACAGTGGCCACGCCGTTTAAGGCTTAAACTTTCTTCGCCCGCTTGAACACTGGGGTCGTGGCTTCGAATCTCTCTGAGGCATGGATGTCTGCGTACTCTTATACTGTGTTTGTGCTGTCCTGTGTTCAGGTGGCGGCCTTGCGCGAGCTGACTCCCCGTCCGAGGAGTCCTACCGACTGTATAAAAGATCAAGAAACTGAAAAAGCGGCTTAGGCCCAACAAAGGGCTGTCGAGCCATAGATATATATATAGGTATATATAGATAAGTGTGTAAGTGGGTAGGTAGGTAGAGACCGGAACGCCGATCACGATGGCCGCGCGGACTGAGGCATGAACAATTTTTGTCCGCTCTAACGCTGGGGTCATGGGTTCGAATCCCACTCGAGGCATGGATTGTGTGCGTTTATGCTGTGTTTGTGCTGTTCTGTGTGTAGTTAGAGGCCTTACTGTAGAGTCCTACCGACTGTGTTTAGGATTAAGAAACAGAAAAAGCCGCCAAGGTACAAAAAATGGCTGTAGAGCCATAATAATAACAGACCAGAGCTCCACTCGCCGCTAATATGTTACAGACAGCGTTTCCACTGGAAACTTCACGAGTTGTCTGCAGCTTTCGACCTAT